CCGCACACGGTACACTATCGCACTAGGTAGACTATGATACTGTACCGCACTACATGCTATATATTAAAACATGCATAACTCTAGTTTCGTAATGACCTATTGTCTAAATTAACACAATGAATTATTGCAGATAGTGATTGATTATTGACAATAGTCTCACTAGAACAAGTATACCAAATCAAGTGCTTCGGAAACAGGCAGCAAGTACTAAGTGACAGTCTCATCCTTGACTCTACTCTAGTCTAATAATATTAACTTATATCTCTTATAGAAGAGTAAAAATATCGTAACGACCCTAAATCAAAAATCACACACAACCTCCTTACCGTATATTAAATATTTTTGCCTTTTCTTATTGTATATAAACCAAGAATCGACAGCGAACATTGTTTTTCTATGAGCAATTACAACACATGTCAGTCCGTCCGCCATTTTGGTTTTTGCTGTCCTGTGCTAGCGCGGGCTCAAAACTGGCAACTTTGGCGAAGCCTAGTACTTCATGTAAGGTCTACCGCTAAGTTAATACAGAGATATTACTAATAGTGCCAATTCATGAGAGCATGCATGAAGTACTAAGGCTTGTGTTCTTTTTTTTCGCAGTGAGAACTAGTAAAACGGTTAAGTAGTTTTGACGAAAAGTCGCTTTTATTTTTGCGTGAATTCCAATATGTCCCAATATGGAAACTCTGAACATATTTTCTCGAATGTCAAATAGAGATTCAAATAACTTGATATAATGTTTGATACAGCCTTTTGCAAAAATTATGAGAATTGTTGAAATATCTAAATATCATAATATCGAGTGTATGATGGGTAATCCTGTGCGATGCCCTTAGTCCCTTGTCTTTGTAGTTTAGTTTTTTTTGGCGACAGACTTATCCGTAGTTCTGAACAATTTCTCGATGTCAACAATGAATTATTCTAGCAAACCCTCGTGTTCCAGACAATATATGGATATGGATATTATGATATTTAGATATTTARACAATTCTCATAATTTTTGCAAAAGGCTGTTTGCTTGATAATATTAAACTTGACATGTTTAATTAACGTTTGGCGTTTTATTATAATAATGAGTGCAGCATGCATATAAACAAACACTGAATTCAATTCCCAAAGGAGCGATTCTCGGCCATCTATTCAGTTAGAAGTAAACAGAGTCTTTTGACTCAGCTAACTTCGCGTAGTCATACTTCAAAATGTCTAGAAGTCATAAAATTCTTTTCTAAAAGGTGCTCATCTCATCATAAAGAAAAGAATCGCTTCCTTTAGTGCTGTGTTACGTAATCTAGTTTGCATATCTACCCTCCTTTACGCAAGCTCAGTACGTAAACGCTGCTAATTGTTGCTCATTTGATTTGGTCAATTAACAGGTGGAAGCCAGAATGTAAATTGTCGCATGTGTGCGGTTTGATTATATCAGATTTCAAGGACTAGAATATRAATAGCATGTTACTGATAACATTCTTTTAAAACGCGCGCCTAAAGTTAYATTCTCATAATTTAGTTAATGCGGCGTTGACGTGAAGACATTGAAATTTTTCTTACAACAGCTGGTTATAGTTATTCCGTCGCGAAGGCGATATGTAATCATTATTATATACATTGGTCTATACATTGGTGACGCAAAATTCAGTCCCCTTCTTCAATCCACGAAGAGTTGTGTGTTTATCTGTTACCAAACATTACTATAACATCTATCAAATTAATAGTATTTGAAATAAATAGGTTATAATCTAATTAAACCGCGTTTGCAGATGAAGCCTGTTAAAAAACGCGGGGCAACTATCATAATGGTTCAGCAAGTATTGCAGAGTACTGCCTGGTCTTGGTAACGTATAGTACATATAACGATCTCTGGATCTTGTTTTGAAACGGGTTTACATCTACACATATATATATATCAACTTGTTTTATATATCTAAGTTGCATGCAGTACACGATAAACGTATTCGTGAAATAATCAGTATATTATAAGTATTACACGAACTTTACGCTAACTCAGTACTATCATATGGAATAGTAATTTGGCGCAACAGTAAGGCCAGTTGTTTCAGTCAAGAGAGGTTATCTATAGTGTTTTGTAAATGCAGGTTTTATCGAGGTCGATCAATAGTACATCATAACTCTACTAGTTTCTTCCATTATTTTAGAGCGTAAGAATCGTCGTCATAAGCGAAAACAGATATTTAGAAATACAAAATTTATTGAAACACTATACTAGTGGTAAACATTGGTCGAAGGAATCTTTTTATACAACTCAAAGGTCCACCTTATTATACAAGCCAACTGATACTTTGAGTGAGTGCAGTGCTAACTATGACTAATCAAAAACTGTCAAACACAAGGCCAAAAGGCGAGAAGTATATGTCAAAAAAGTTGACAAACAAATCACTCTTGCAAATTGGCATGATTACTCAATATCCGTTAAGATTAATTATCCAAACTTTGCTTATTAACAAGATTGGTAGTTTTTTGGCCAAAACAAACTTTAGAATCAGAACCATTATTGGGTTAGGAAATACACTCATGGCATTTATACATTAATGGTTAAACATACCTTCAWTGATACCAACTCATTCACAAGGTACTTGAGCGTTGCAATCAAGAAAGGCGCTAAGCAATCGAAGATTGAGTGAAAAGTAATTGCCGCCAACTGCGCTTAGTGTTGAATTCAAATTGGATTCACTTTAGCATCTTTAGTCTCAATATCGTTTTCTATAGACCAGTTGAATAGTGAATAACCAGGACACAAGGGATTACTACATGCATTTTATCCTATTGTTACTAAACACAATGGATTCACTCAACAATACTCAATAACAAAGCGCAATGGTTGTATAAAGCTTAATCATCAAGCGACAGGCTGCTTTGGACAACTATGGCCTAAAATAGAATGAAATTTCTTTTTACATTTTACTATCTATTACTGTCCAGGTATATTCCAGGTGTATTCCCTTTGATTCCGGTGAAACCTGAARCTAGCGTCCGAACTGGCGTCACTTAGCGCGAAGATATTACCTTTTTACCTACATACATTAGTTTACAATATTTACTGTATTTTATTTAATCCTTGTCTTCCTGTGATTCTTAGCATGCTTGGTACTCCATCGTATACTTGATAAAGGCCTTATGGGGCCTCTCGTCACTATGTCATCGTGTTGAGTGACGGAACCGTAACCATCCATTGTAGCAGGCGTTCCTTGAGAGTCCTTGATATGTGTGTATATATTATATACAGCTGTTTGCAATAATTCTGACCCCCTCTGCCATATTTCATATATATCA